TGTATGTATACGGACGACTAAGAATATAAATTTAAGAGAAAAAAATTTGGACCTCCTCTGTCTCTCCATCCTTGTTCCCGTGGGAACTTGTCACAACTTGTCCGTCTTTTTCGTAGTCGATGTTGATACTCCGTATACAAGTGCTAATGTAAGTAATATACACCTTTCTTACGCCGTCATAATTAGGACCATCATCCCAGTATTCGCCGCCCCAACCACCTACGAGTTCTGACTTAGTAGGAGGAACTTTTGTTAAATATGCTCCAATGGAATTTAGAGCTTTCCCTGCGGATCCATGGAAGCCGGTGATCATCTTCCCGTTGACCCCACCAAGTGAAAACTTTTTATTACCCTTTGGATATCCAATCACTTCAGAGGTCTTCCGGTTGGTTTTGAATTCAAGCGCTTGCATCACACCTGATTTGTCGTAGTAACCGTCAACAGAGACAATATGTTCATTGTTTAGGTAATCAATCTCGAACTGCCAACAAAAATGGTTGATACATTAATAAGGAGTTTGTAGCTAACAAGTTAATTATGTGACAAGGGGGTCCAAAATCAATAAGATTCACCTTTGAATTTCACTAGCCTCTACAATTAAAACGATGGATTGAAACTATTGGGAGATTAAAGATTCTATAGATCATATATTTATTTTTAAAACATACCATATGTGTGAAACCACTACCCAAAACACCATGGATTGATCCCTCTACAGATTGTCCATCTTTGACATATTCAAATTTGATGTATTGTATGCCTTCAAGACCACCTCGTATATAAACTTTTGCTACATTATCATGGCTGGCTCCATCATCCCATTCCTTGCCCCCTTTCCCACCCTTAGCCTCCAACTTTTGAGCCATTGCAAACCCATCTGAATCTTTATACATAAAATTGAATAGTATTATTTTGTCATATAATCTTTTTGTCATTATTAATTAATTGAACTTACTTTTCTAGCCAAGCACCAAATATGTTAAAGAATGGAAGAAGGAAAGCTGTAGCCAGCATCCACAGAATGGAAGAAAGAAAGTTGTGCAAAATTTACATAAAAAAAAAAAAGACAGTGTTGAATTCATACACATTCAGAATAAAAAACATTGTGTACTATTGGGTTATATTTTCATATTTAATCTTCTAGTCATTAATTTAATATACATTGAGATTTATTTTTTCTAGCCAAGCTTCAAATGAGTTAAAATGGAAGGGGGAATGTTGCAATTATTATCTAATTAACACTTGGTGCTATATATACACTTTATGTTTGACCCAAAAGAATACACTTTATGTTTACATATTTTAGAAAATAAAACATATGAATAAAACTATTGGCGTGTGTGTATAATAATGGAACATAAGCAGTGGCGGAGGCAATGAAGAATCATGGGGTCATGTGACACCCATGAAATTATGATTTTCAGTTTAACTTTTGTTAAAATAATTATTAGACACATGTCCAAGTAGTTATTGACACCCTTACAAATTTTATTAACCCCTCTCAAATCCATGACTGTACTTTAAAGATTAATATTTAACATTCTAAAGTTTGTAATATAATAATATTTATCACAAAACGAGTTTAAAATATAAATTTGCTACTAATTTTCTTTACTGTTTGTCATATTAACATTATCGTTGGGCATTTTTGACAAACTGTCGAACTTTAACAAAATTTTAATTGATTTTGTTGCTTAATTACTTAATTAAAAATAATATTTTTCGGAATAAGTTGATTAAAAAAATTCAATCCCTAAATGTCGATAATAAAATTCTTCAAAAAATGTCATTAAGATAAATATTTGTAGCCAAAAAAATTAAAGATGTCATTACAAATATTCACAAAGATCTTTACCAACAAAAAAATATTCATTTTAAAGATGAATCATACGCTCATTTATAATTTTTTGGAAAATGTTTTAAAAATGAATATTTGCAATGATATTTTTTCTAATAAAATTAATATTCACAAAATAAAAAAAATATTATGATCCCCATAACTCATTTTTCTGGCTCCGCCACTGAACATAAGGCAGCTGATCTCTTTATTATCTAAACCATTAATGATAAAAACAAAATGCTTAGGTTACCAATAATGGCTGAGGAGAGAAAGAGAAATACATAGATGATTAACATGATCGTTGTGCTATGGTGATTGATAAAGAAGCTGAGGATGAAATGCTTATTTATACACCAAGTATTGGCTCTTTCACAAATGCATAGTATATTTGACTAGTGGCCAATAAGGCATTATAGAATAATATTTCTCAGTTCTCAAGTTTTCACCTTTTCAAGTATTAAGTATTTTGTTGGTGCACCAAAAAAAAAGTATTAAGTATTTTGTTTAAAAATGGAAAGAAAGTATTTTGTTAAGTATACTATTTGTTAACGAAAGTTGAATAAACCCTAGACTAAGTCTTAAAGAAACATTGGATTATAATATTGATAAATTTTTTAAAATACCACACTTTCAAGTTTTATTTCTAAAAAACCACTATTAATTAGTAGTATAATGCTCCAAAAATATCACTATATAAGTTTTAGTTTTCCATAAATACAACAAACACAAAAATATTGATTTTCAAGGGTTGATGAAAATTTTAAGTTTAAGTTTGGGTTGGCTATTTTAAATTTAGGGTATAGTTTTAGGGTTTCAGATTAGTTTTGAAATTTAAAAGTTAAATTTTAATTTTATGGTTTTTAGAAAATTAATATTTAAGTGGTATAATCGGAAATATCGAAAATCTGTCTTCGAACAGTATGGACAAACTAGACAAAAGATACCAGATCAAGACCATTGGCGAGTGGGAATGCATGCAATTTGCTGTTTTCTTATAATTAGAGAAATGAGACTTGAACTCATTGCCCCCGAGAGATTAAGGAACTTCACTTTTTGCTCTGGTGGCTCAGGGAGTTCACTGTGGAGTCTTCTATTACGTTCGCACCATATGGTATGAGCAGAGGTTTGGAAGACAAACCTTAGAAAAAATCGAATGGATGAGTTGAAAGTGGAACCTAAGATGAGTAAGAAGATATCATTGTAGTTGGAATATCGATTTTGGAGAATCCGACATGTAAGCCTTTCCCAAATCCAATGTTGTTAAATTATGTGTAGGAGAATCCGACATGTAAGCCTTTCCCAAATCCAATGTTGTTAAATTATGTGTAGTGTTAACTTCCAAAGTGTCATAGACTCATAGTTCATAGTAGACTCATATATGCATGCTTGTTATAAGGGTCTATAACAGTTGTTTGATGATTCTTCTTACGACATTTCACACATTTGTATAGTTAACTTTCAAAACTTTATAGTAGATTCATATATGCATGTTTCATGCTTGTTATATGCTAGTGTTCTACATATATAGCAGTTGTTGGTTGATGATTCTTGCAACATCGTACATTTATTTGTAGAGTTAACTTTCAAACCTTCATAGTAGATTCCAATACACATTTTTTGTAAGGCTTTTACATGACATACAATTGTTTTATATTATTTTTCCATTTCAGATAATTAACATAAAAAACAATATATATATATATATATATATATATATATATATATATATATATATATATTCCTCAAAAGTCAAAACTCGAAACTTTTAGTTTGGCCTTTACTGTAATTAAAGTGGAATCATGAAGATCATTAAATTTTTGTAGATCTCAAGGTTTATTTATTATACTTAATTTGGTCAATGAGGGTGCATGGACGAATCTTCACTAATAAGATCACTCTTTTAGGGTTTCCACGTTCAATGAGATCGATCAGAAAATGCAAAATCAGATTTGACTATTTGAGAATTCTTAAACCATACAGATTTAATAATTTGGTGAAATCATACTCCGTCATATAGAACCGTTTTTCTAACAATGAACAAGTATCACCGCAAACGTATATCTGAATCGATTTATGATCACGAAAGCGAAATTTGCATAGATTTTTTTTTTGGTGAGGAAATTTGCATATATTTAAAACCTATTTGTATTTATCAATATATTAATTGGTACATGATTAAATTTGGGGTTGTATTAACCTCGATGAAATTTTAGCTAAATGAAACAATATTTTGTATGATATTAACTACTTACATAAGTATGTTAGGATAATAATATGTCATATAATAAAACAGATGGTGGATTCAGTTTTTGAACTATATATTAAAGAAATTTAAGAGTTTTGATAAGAAAAACAATTTTGACGTTTGATGGAACTCCAAACTCCTTTCTTAATTACCGAAATTTTAATATAGAATGCTCCTTGGTTACAACATAGTGTAAAGCCCGCGAAGGATAGATGTCAAATTATTCATCCAAATTAGAAAGTGCATCAGTAAATTAACCTGTGACACGAACACATGGAATTTAGAAATGGTTAATGTACTCATGAAGCCCAAGGATAGTTCGATTAGTTGAATTATACTAGGGTACAAAGAGGAGAGGTTAGGTTGGAACTTTACCAAATAAATGGTTGATAGGTAATTTAGTCAGGCTACTCGATAACCTTCAACAGTATAGTGTCGGAAAATAGGAAAGTAATGCATGGACCAGTATCAGACTCGAGGCTATGGATTCTTCTTCAACGTCATCATGTCTTTCGAAAATGACCAATCTTCCACTTCCCGGATTGTCCGTGTGGTTGTGTCTCCGATCTACCATTCTCTCGCATGTGGCAATGTGTGTTACAACCCTTGTCTCCGAGCTACTATGGAACTATTTTCGGATTATCGTTATTCTCCTTTTATCGCTTTTAATCTTGTTGTATTATTGAGAATGTTTATTTCTCCCAAGCCTTGTACTACATTTGAGTGATTGAATGAAAACAAGCTTTTGCCCAAAAAAAAAAAAAAGGACCGGTATCAGACCTCTTCAAGAACACTCCAGAATAATATTAATGCATGTGCCCGTCTAAATTAAAACACATTTTATTTGACTTTTAAGGAATTGAGAAATTAATTGTGATGGATAATGTTAGCGTTTTACAATTTCTTTTTGCATACTTTCTGTCCAAACCAATAGCTCTTATTATAGAAACATTAAAAAAAGATTTGAGTAATTAAACCTTGTTTTGTTACATGAGATTTTGAAAAGGAAATAAAACATCAAATTAACAACATCTGAGACCGGCAACAAGTAAAGGAAACAAAGTACGTAACAGATAAGAGATCATTATAGCACCATTATTTTTCCATGGAACCCTAAAAGTTTATTATCTTCATAATTCTGAATTACTAAGTAACCATCGGTTTGAAATAAACTCCTATAGCATCGAAACCACCACCATCACGTCCATGAAACCCATTAATAACATAACCTTGTCTCTCAAACACAAATTCAGTGCCAGACACAAATCCATACGTAGGAGAAATTCTTTCTTTCGATGTTTTAAAAATCAAAGACCTAACGACCAAAACGCCATCCTCGGGGATCGTGTTGTAGGTACCAGACACTGATGTCAAATATTCGTTTGGATAGTCGATTGCAAACTGAAATATGTATGAAAAAGTTAGAAAACTTCACCATTAAAAATTAGTTTTTAGATGCATTGATTGATAAGAATTATCATCTTTATGGAATCTAAAATAATATATGTAAAACAAATCATTTTATTTACTTTCATTTGATTTTATTTAGGAACCTACAAAACTTAACATAAAACTTTTAGATTTTTTTCTTAAGGGTTTCAAGATCATATGTATAGTGATTTATTACCTCTTTTGTCTCTCCATCTTTGCTCCCATGATAAGATGTTACCACTTGACCATCTTTGTCATAGTCGGTGCTGATACTTCTTATAAGATAGTTAGTATAAGTAACATACATCTTTCTTACACCGTCATAATTGGGACCATCATCCCAATATATGCCTCCATATAAACCACCTACGAGTTCCGATTTAATAGGAGTAGCCGCTGTTACATATGCTCCAAGGGAGTTTAGAGATTTCCCTGCAAATCCATGGAAGCCAATCATAATCTTGCCATTTACTCCAAGTGAAAACTTAGTAGCACCCTTTGGATATCCAATCAATTCAAAAGTCTTCAGGTTGGTTTTGAATTGAAGTGCTTGCATCACACCAGTTTTGTCATCATAGTAACCATCAATAGATACAATATGTTCATAACTGGATTGGTCAATCTCTAACTGCAAATAAAAAAAAATGGCTATTTATTAACAAATATTTTAAACTCATGGAATCTTACATGTATTTTCGAAAATATCTAACTTTTCATAAAAGAAACTAAGAAAAAAATTGGTGATGTGAAAATATTTGTGAATTGGTAAATTTGATTCGCCGTTCCTCATTGTGTTAGTTATATGGTAATTTTCTCTTAAAATAACTTTTTCCTCTATATATATCCACATGAAAATCTGAAACATACCGTATGTGTAAAACCATCACCCAAAACACCATGGATGGATCCATCTATGGCTTGCCCATCCTTGACATAATCAAATTTGATATAGTGAATTCCTTCACGACCACCTCGTATATAAACCTTTGTTACATAGTCATAGTCTGCTCCATCATCCCACTGCTTGCCTCCTTTTCCACCAATTGCTTCCAACTTTTGAGCCATGACTAACCCATTGGAATCTTCATAGTTCATACATTGAAGTTATTGGTTTTCTATTATTTTTAATATATAGTGTTTTATAGCAAGTATCACATCAGTTGAAAATAAAACAAACAAACAAACACACACACAATCTTCTAATTGATTTGTTAGTATAAAATTCAGTAAATTTGTACTCCTGGATTTTATTCAAGCTGGAGAATTTTGTTTTATTTTATTTTCGCCAAGAAGCTATTGAATTTAGTTGTAATAAAATAACTAAGAGGAGAAATAAATCTTATAAAGATTATATTTGAAATCAATTATAAGAAGATAAAATCTTTTACACTTTTTTCTCATGACTCATCTATAAATACTGTTAAAATTACGGTGAAAGATAGAGTTGGGAAACAAAGAAAGATACAATAGATTGAATAGTTTAATTACCTATAATGGCCGATGAAGAGAGCAAGAGGAAAATGTAGATGACAAACATGATTCCTATGATGTGGTTAATAATGAAGAAGCTAGGGAAGAAGATGATAAATATTTATACACACAGTTCTGACTCTTTCAGATATGCAAGTTACTATAGTATATTTGACTAGTGGCCTATTAGGGATAATAATATTAATGTTTCTCAGTTATCAAGTTTTCATTATTCTAATCATTGTTTAATTTGTTACATCATCGCTGGAAAGTAATTTGATTTTTAAGACTATTACAAATTATGATATATTTCTAACTTTATATAGAGCCATCTCAAACTATTTGTAGGTACTCTTCAAAAAAACTATTAAAGGTATACCTAATGTGGTAACAAATTTTTTAGATATTATAGCTCCTAATGTATAAATATGTTTAAAATTCTTAAGCTTTTTTTTTTTTATTTGTTTTTAGCCATGTTCGATTAGTCTACTAAGAGCATTTCTATCAGTTATTGTTAAGATACCATCATGGGTATTTAAACATTTAAATATTTCATATTTTAATACTATTTAGTTATATATTTTAATTTTTAAATATTATATAAACCAATAAAACTAAAACACCTATTATAAGAATTTTTTAACTAGAGATGCATCGTCTCTTAATAAAATTATTTTTTTTTATTCACCAATGGAGGTGCTCTAACACATAGAAACACAGTGGACAGTTTAACGAATGATTCCACAATAGCTAAATCCACATTATGATGTAAAATCCACTTCAATTTACGATAGATGCTTATGCTTCTACATGCTTCACGTTCACGATGAAAAACTTTACTTTTAACAAATGGGACCAGAGTTTAGAAATTTTATAACAGACGAAATAAGACATTACTTTGTTCTCTTTACCTATTTAGCATGTAGTTCAATTTAAAAACATAGAACAAAATGCAATTAATATGTGTAATAGTGAACATATAACCATCATTCTATGTTTTCTCTGTAAAATGATGTGTTCTCACTCAAATCACATGTCTTTCTCAAAGAATTTTTGTTTGTTTCCAAAAATCTAAATATAAAAATGGCTAGAATTTTTTTTTAACAAGGATCACAAGATTGAGTCAAATTATGAATATTAAAGCCAAAAATTTGAAACCTGGAACACATTTTCTTACTTCAGAAAACGATTAAAAAACAAAAAAAGAGTAAGAGAAGATGATGCTTTCTCTAATGTGGAGATATCTTCGCCCAGTAATACGTTCATGAGTGAGCTGAGCTCATATCGTCTATCATATTTATGTTTATCATCCCAAATTCAGATCACCTAAATTCTGAGTTAAAAGAATTAGTTCATGAGCTAGTATTAAACAAATATGTTGATAAAAGTAACCCTAAATTTGAGTAGATGTTGTGGATATCTAAAAAAAACTAGAAAGTTTATCTCATATCTAAATCCTGAGTTAAATGAATTAGTTCATGAGCTAGTAGTACAAGAGTTTCTCTCATACACCTATTGCATGGATGTCCATCCAATTACTTCAATAGTAGAGTTTTATTTATCTTTCCTATATATGTTCATAACTTGAATAGTAGAGGAAATAAATTTGTAATCTGCCTATGTCGTTGTATACTTATTTGCTTTCATTTCGGGAAGAATGGTTGAAACTTCTGTAATCTTGAGATATCATATTTGTTGAATAATAGTAAAGGAAAAAGATATGCTATATATATTTGTGTCTAGATATGTCATATTTGTTGAAGCTATATTTTATTTTTGGATCAACAATTTTTTATCACTTGAAGCATGTGCCAGTGATAATTAGGTTTTCGAATGTGATGTGGAGATGCCTACACGAGATAAGCCTACACCCCAAAACGTATATCTGAATTGATTTATCTTTACGAAAGAGATATATAGTACCTACTTGTATTTAGTTAATTCGTTCTCAGATCTGGTAAATGAATATATTGAACCATGAATTTTGACTTTTGACATTATATATTTAGTTATCTCGCTTTTTCCGCTTTCATCATGTGTTGAATATTTGATTATAAGATTTGAAGTTTCTTAGCTCAAGATTGATGTTGACTTCTTGTTTGTTTATTAAAGAATCTTTTGTTTTGTGTTTGAAGTTTACAACGTACATAGCATGTAATATATTTATCTAAACAGGTTATATGCTTTTCAGCTAATTCATTCTCAGATCTGGTCGGTGAATATAATGTACCATGAATTTTGACATTTGACAATATATATATATATAGCTACTCACTTTTCCCTCTTTTTAATCATGTGTTGAATATTTGATTGTAAGATTTGAATTCTTAGCTCAATATTGATGTTGACTTCTTGTTTGTTTATTAAATAATCTTCTGTTTTGTGTTTAAAGTTTACAACATGCATAATGGGTTTGATTGGTAACCACTTATAAAAGCGGTACAACGTGTACAGCTTTGACAGTTACAAATCACAAAAAATTTATTAAATACGTTACAAAATGTTTTACTCTCAGCTTTTTTTTGTAAAGTTTTTTCTTACAGTTTTGCACTATTCCGATAAAACTAACAGCTCCAGCTAACAGATAAAAAAACTTGTACAGTTTTTGGTTACCAATCGGACCCCACATGTTATATATTTATTTAAACAGGTTATGCCATTTTAATAACCATCCCATTCAGTAAACTCAAAATATAGCATATATTTTGACTATGGAATCGAGTTAGGTTATTCTTGTTGTATTATATGGATGCTGCCTGTTTTTATCTTTTCGAGTTGTTACCGATTGTTCTTTTAATATGATAATTATATTTTATGTTTATATGTTTTTTTCTCACTTTTTAAAAGGCTGTTTTATTAAAGCTAAGAAATAGATTTCTTTTAATAACATATGACATTTCAATATATATGTATATTGGTTTAAACTTTAAAGTAATAAATAAAGTAGTTCATGTTTCTCATATATTATTTGAGTTTCTCTCTTCTTCTTTTTTTTTTACTATACTGATTTAGTTTTCCAGATCTCATATGAGGAATTCAAAAACCCTACTGATGATGATGACTTTTTGGTCCATCTCAAACTAAATCTAATTGTCTATTTAATACTAGTTTTTTTTTTAATGAATGTAAAATTATATTCAACCCAAAAAAACCTTGTTTACAGTATATGCAACCTTAAGTAGAGAGAGATTGAAGAGTTAGGAAGTGTTAATAGAAAGAACATTTGGGCGTAGAAAACAGAGGAAGCATTAGAGTCTTGAGGCAAGCCAAGTGCGTAGCCCGTCCTCGTATTTCGAAAGGCTTGGTTGCGTGAGTGAACATAATCTGTTTCGCATGATTCGATCAATGGTCTTGATGAGCTGCGTAGATGTTTTTGGAAGTTCGCCCTGCCGTCGTCCATTTCTCTCACGGCAAATAGTACGAGCAACAGTCTGGAAAGCATACCTCACGATGAACCGGGTAGTAGGAGCAAGATTAGTCTCTGAGATGAGTGATATTAGTTACCATATATTTCTCTTCTTTGGAGTTATTTTTGTTATATATTCAAGTTCATAAACTTCTAACTCAAAACCAATTTTTAGTAAATTGATGGATACATATATACCTTTAGATTCTATGAGTTCTCATTTTTCTTCAGACGTGTGATCTTTCTTAACGTGTATCAATGATTTAAATATAAGTTTTACACTCATTCAGAGTCAGCTTAATAAACAAACATATGCAGAAACACTGACAACAACCATTTGCCAAACAAAAAAAAAAAGAGAGAGAAACCAACTAAAGGTCTCAACTCTTTTTAAAATCTAATAACAATGTATATATACCTCTTTGATCCAACAACATATAATTCAAAAAGGAACAAAGTCAACAACACTAAGCATCATGCATTAAGGAGAGTCTATTTCCTAGAAGAAGATATGAATATTTTTCTCCGTACCGATCGATCACCTCCAGATTTTTATGTATCTCTGGAGCGAATCTAAAAATGTTTTAAGCTGAATCTAGTAAAAGTTGACATAATTTTTTTTATATAGTGGACTAGGAATATTCTAATGAGCTTACATTAATTATTAAAAAAAAAAAGAAAAAAGTAAGATGGGATAATGTGAATGTGACCACGTTGGTCCATAATACAAAGAGAAATGTATCACGTCAAAAACGCTGCCGTAAAGGTGCCACGGTTTCATTGGAGCTTAAAGAGGAGAAATATAACTATAAGATTTTATTTTATTTTGAAATACCTAAAAAAGGTTTAATAATCAAACCTTGTTTTATTACAAGAGTTGCAAACTCGGAATCAGTTACTAATTTAAGAAACATCTAGAATACGTAGTAAAACATTAATTGAAGATATGAGAGCTTTAAGGCAACATGGCGAAACGAGTGAAGTCGTTATTTCCATCGAACTCTATGGTTTTATAGTCATTATAGTTTTGAATTACGAAGGAATCGGAGAGAAATAAACCCCGATAGCGTCGAAAGCACCACCATCCCGCCCATGAAATCCAACAATAGCATTACCTTGGCTCTCCAACACAAATTTGGTACCCGACACAAACCCATATGTGGGAGAGATTCTCCCTTTTGATGTTTTGAAGATCAACGATCTAATGACCAAAACGTTATCATCAGGGATTGTGTTGTATGTACCCTCCACTGATATCAAATATTCATTTGGATAGTCTACCACAAACTGCAATATAGAAAAACAATGTTATTAAACCTAGATAGAAATCTATATATAATAGCAATCTAATAAATACCATTTGAACATCTGAACGGTTGCGTCTTTTTATCGCAACCTTCCGTTTAAATCAGTTATTTTTAATTTACGGTTATTTTGGTTGCGTCTTTTTATCGTAATTTTCATTTTAATCGGTTATTTTTTTACGGTTATGTCGTTTTCAATAAATACCATTTGCACATCTGAACGGTTGCGTTTTTTTATTGTAACATTTCGTTTAAATATTTATGGTTGTTTTTCTTACAGTTATTTTTGTACGGTCATGTTGTTTTATTGAATTTCTTTTTACGTAAACCAGTAAACTACATATAAAATTGGTTTTATTTCATAGTTTACATATGGATATATTTTGTAGTATAACTCCTTAATTATATCATTTATTTAACATTTACGTGATATCATGGGAAAACAATAATATAGAGGTTTAAATAATTTGGACATACGTAATTGAAATGAGCCCCACACATTAAAGCTGTAACGGACACGTTCGTCTACGTAATGGACTTATCGAATAGTTGTAAAATCGTGCCTTTTCAACTCTATATATTGTCTTTCTTTTCGAAATTCCAATTTTTTGTCCTGCTACAACGATTATTTGTTCTACGATGAATTCAAAAGAAATTATATGTCAAATGGAATCAAATTCTATACTGTCTAAACTATTTCTAAACATACACTTTTTTAATATTGAAGAAAAACTTCTAATTCTTTATTTAACCAAAGATTTTTGGAATGATTTTGAAAATGAAAAAGTTTTAATCAATTTTAAATATAAAATTTAATGAAGATGCCAACAATTTTTTTCTCAGAATTGGGGGGATTATACAGTGAATTTTTTTATTTAACAATTATATATGATAACAATGATGCTTTCTACCTTACGGCAATATATATGGGTTGTATACAACAAAATATTGATGTTGCATCAACATTATTACAAAGTCCAAATATGAGAAGACATCCTCAAGCAATAATATGGCTATCTACTGTATTTTTCATATGTGTTGGTCGCTTTAAACGTGGAAGACGTCAAATAAACCGTTTCAAATGGTATAATAATCCAGAAAAAAATCTCCGCTATTAGGAAAAAAACAATGATTCCAGATCATCACATGAATATTAAAGAAAGAAATTTGTTTAGTCAATTAATTCATCAATATAAATATAAATGCATTATAAGTTGATGGTTTGTTTGACAATCGAGCTTCAACTCACTCTAACCAAACACTTAGGTAGAGAAATTCACAATATGCGTATGTCGGTCGAGAAAATAAACAATAATAAGATTGATATAACATCTAATTAACTACCGTCGCGTCTCTCGGTATAACTTTTTATAAATTAATATTTTTAATTTTTAATTACTAAAATGTATTTAAATAATTTTGTAATCGTTTAAATGAACCGTTGAAATATTTGGTTTATTTGACCAATCATTGCAATTTTTGGTTTTGTTTTACAAACCGTTGTAATCTTTAGTTTATTTGACAAACTTGACGAACCGTTACAACTTTTGATATATCGCAACATTTTATTTATTTATTTTTAAACTAAAAATATATTTTATGTTATGTGTTTTGAGAAAGTTGCAATCTGAGTAAATATATTTTACGGTTGCATCTTTTTATCGTAATCTTTAATAAAATGGTTACCGTTTAGTTGAACCATTGCAACATTTATTTTATTTCACGAAAAATTGCAACTTTAAGTTTATTTTATAAATTGTTATAACATTTAATCATTTACTATCGTTATTATTAATTTTTGTTTGATATTTTTTTAACTGATTTTCGAAATATTTTCCCCCGCGACATCGCGGGGTCCGGAGTCCTAGTAATAATAAAAATTAAAATCTAATATAACATTTAATGTATATATATATATATATATATATATATTTGTATACATTGACTGTTTGACTTATTGTCATTTAATTTTGAAATGAATCTTATCAACTTTAAAATTGCCTAAAATAAATGCCTAATTCGTCTAATTGGTTTTGACATATAAATGTTGTGTTCTAATAAAAATGAGCAATTTAAGTATATTTATGGGCCAAATGAGTTATGTTTAAGAGTTAATAAGAATTTGATACCTCCTCTGTATCTCCATTCTTCATCCCATGGTAACGTGTTACAACTTGGCCGTCCTTTTCATAGTCAACATTGATACTCCTTATAAGAGTGGTAGTGTAAGTAACAGATATCTTTTTCACGCCATCATTATTAGGACCATCATCCCAAGGTTCGCCTCCGGTTAGACCACCTACGAGTTCTGACTTAGTAGGAGGAGCTGTTGTTAAATATGCCCCAATGGAGTTTAGGGCTTTCCCAGCGGATCCATGGAAGCCAATCATCATTTTGCCATTGACTCCTCCGAGTGAAAATTTTGTAGTACCCTTAGGATACCCAATCAATTCAGAAGTCTTGAGATTGGTTTTGAATTCAAGTGCTTGCATCACACCAGTTTTGTCGTAGTAGCCATCAAGAGATACAATATATTCACTATTTAGATAATCAATCTCAAACTGCGTACAAAAATAGTGATTACATTAATAGGAATTTTGTAGTAATATGGGGATCCACGACATGATAAGATCGAATTTTGAGTTTTATTGGCCACTAGAGTTGAAATATATATATAAAACATACCGTCTGTGTGAAACCGCTACCCGAAACACCATGGATGGATCCATCTATAGATTGTCCATCTTTGACGTAATCAAATTTGATGTATTGTATGCCTTCAAGACCACCTCTTATATAAACTTTTGCTACATTGTCATGGTCGCCTCCATCATCCCACTGCTTCCCCCCCTTCCCACCGATTGCTTCCAACTTTTGGGCCTTTGCAAACCCATTTGAATCTTTCAACATAAAAATTGCATTAGGGTATTCTTTTTTCTTTTTAGAAGATGTGAATATACTTTATCAAAAAGAACAAGAGTTAATTACAAAACCTTGAGAGCAAAGAGCTTTAGTGGCCCGAAAAAAAAATGCCAAAAAGGAACTCATAGTCATTACATTCGGTTGCGACTATATGACTGGAAACAAAATTTTTATTTTCTAAGCCACCATCAAAATTGTGTTCAAAACAAAAGAAAAAACTTGCATAATTTTTTGCATAATTATATCAAGCTTAAATTTGGTGTTGCAAAAAACTAAAAAGAAATAAATTTTCAGTTCATACACATTGCAAAAACTTTGTGTAATATAGTGTTATATCGTTATAGTTTATATATAGAACTTTTTTACTCATAAATTTATGTTAAGATTTTGGTTTTTTTTTCAGGCAAGTTTAAAATGAGTTAAAATGGAAGGAAAAAAGTTGCAACTATATCCTTAGTATTGAACATTAATGGTGTAAAGAAAAAATTTGGATAAGGAAAGCTTAGTTATACCTATAATGGCTGAGGAGAGAAAAAGAAATATATAGATGATAAACATGATCGTTGTGTTGTGGCGATTAATTGATGAAGAAGTTGAGGCTGAAGATGCCTATTTATACACACATGATCTGACATTTATAAAATAAATCCTGGAGTTTCAACTTATTTACGATCAAATGCCATTGACATTAATTATTTAGATTTTCAAAATTAAATCAAATAAGTTGAAACAGTTGAGCATAAAAAATGATTTTTTATTAACATAAAAAATCATTTCTAAAAATTTTAACCTAATATATTAAGCATAACTAATCCTTGCCACAATTACATCCATATTCAATTTGATTTCCTTAAAAGATTTCAAACAATCTCTACATTTAATCGTGCTCATTCAAATCTTAATCCGGTTTTTATCTTCAATCTTGACCGTCGGTCATATGCAATTAATTCAGATATCATTATATAAAATTAATTATTATTAACTTAAATTTAAATATATATATATAATAAAAATTTTAAATTGAGTCGAATTATATGTCGATTAAATAAAATACTATTATAAATAATAAAATGATGTTTAATTTCATGGGACGAGGTTATATAGTGGACGGGTTTGTATCGATATTAATACGGGACGGTATTAATATCACGGATGAAATCTTAAAATTAACAATCAAAATACAATTATACAATTTTAAACACTTAACAAAATAAACAATATTAAAAAATACAATTTAAAATTTAATTTTTTAGTTTAAAAATCGATCCACGGGATAAAATCGAGTTATTAGTATATAACTAGTGGCATGTGAGGCATTATAGAATAATATATGTTTCTCATTTCTCAAGTTTTCACCTTTTTAAGTATTTAGTTACATATACTATTTTATTAAAGAACGTTGACGAAACCGGTATATACTCCTAAAATATTTCTGAAGAAAAAAGATTGATTATAATGCTTAGATATCAAGTAATTTACAATTTTATTTTTTAAATTGGCTTACATTCAACCAAAACATTTTTGAGTTTGAAATAAAATAATGAATATGTTTTTCTGATAAATGTGATAATAGTTAACATTGTCAACTTATTAATATTGTTCTGACTTATCTATTTTTTAGATTTGCTAATATATATGCACATATTATTTTTTAGTTACAATTAATTCATAAACATATTATAGTAACATAACAATTGATGTTATGTTGTGTCATGTGTTGTAAGTTTTTCAACAATATATGCATAATTTTAGCTTAATTAAGTTTACAATGATTTCATTTTCCAAGAAAAAAAAATTAAAACAATTCAAAGAAGTTTTCTTAAAAAGAATTTGAATTGCATATTTTTCAAAATTTTAAAATGATTATTTTCAATAATAACCGGATATTAGATATATTCAAGATATTCACTCCCCTTAAGAACGAATCAAATCAGATGGTTCCATTTTTTTATTTTTTAGTCCACCCTCCGGAAGAAAATAAAAAATAAAAAAATCCACCCTCCTTCTTTTTTCGCCTCACTTCACCGTAAAGTGGAACCATTATATTATAACACTTGCCAATATTATATGATTGGCAAGGAGAGAGGAGGTTGGCCTTACTAATTACTAATTGGCAAGGAGAGAGGAGGTTGGCCTTACTAATTGATCATAATCTTAATTTTCTTTAAGAACCATAGATTTAGTTAAATACAGTTTCTCATGGGAACCTGTTTTTCTAAACAAGTAAACTCTGAAACGTAAACCCTAATTCTTTTGGATCTGGCAGGGCTTGAAGAACTAAGAAAAAAATAATTTATCCCTTCTCAAATCACATTGCTACTGCTTTTAGAATCAATTCTTGGACGATGCCATCAATCCCACCTAATCAAAACCATTAGACATCTTGCTCCAAGAAACTGATTCTACATATGATGTATAGCCATGGGATGGGCCTTATGTATGCTCATGGCAAACAGATAACCTAAAGCATGCCTTAAATTTGACCCAATGAATGCATTTTTCATCTTCAATTCAAAGTATGTTCCCATCTCTTCTTAGTTCCTGGAAAGAAAGAAATAAGAACATTCTCATTAAGGTGTTTCTCAATGACGTTCTACAGTTAAACAAAATGAAAAATAAAAATAAAAGAAAAATGATTTCTCAAAAAAAATAGACATACAGTAAAACCTCTATAAATTAATGCAGTTACGACTAAGAGATTTTATTAATTTATCGGGTTACTAATTTATCGATATACTAATTGATCCGAAAATCAATTTTGGGAAAAAAAATTGTATTGATTTATTCAGTTATTAATTTATCGAGTATTAATTTATAGAGGTCATAATGTATATGCACAAGAGATTCTCAATTGAGAATCCCGTTAAGAAATAGATACACTACAACAAGAAAAGACTTTAACATCATTTATATTAGCTTTTACGTTGGTTATAAATTGACTAAAGCATATAGAAAAAAAAAACTAAAACCTAATGTCAGAACCGTCAAAATCTATTAATTTATAGAGGTATTAATTTATCGAGATGGCTAATTTTGTAATTAAAAAAAATTGTATGAAATGAAGTTTTTTTTGTTCTAATCAATATCTTTATAGAACCAATTAATTACTAGTTGAAAAACAATAATTATGTTTGGAAAACAATATATGAAGTTTTGGATGAAATAAAAATATTATAAATGAACTCTACCAAAAATTAATGCAAATTTTAAAAAAGAAAACAAATAATACTATAGTCATATCTCCAAAAACCAAACCAAAAACTTCGGTTAACCAAAATGATTTTGAAACCCCACCAATCGGTTATGATCAATTAACATTAACAGAACCGAATTACCCAAACCTTGGTACCGTTCGGTTTGGACAAGTCGGTTCGTTTCAAAATCACAGGCCTAGTGACAACCTTCCACAGAGAAAAAATGTTAGGAGTCACACATTTGAAAAGTATAAGAATTCCATTTAATATAACTTTCAATTTAAACTTTAAAATTATTAAGCCTGATACTAAAAATAGTTAAAAATAAATTTAACTAGATTTAACAACCTTTCCAACGATGTATCTAACATTTTCCGATGTTGTTGTTTAATAGTAATACTAGAACCTGACCGCACGTACGTGCGGGATTTCATATTTTAAACAATATTTTCTAATAAAATTTAATTCAATATAGATAAGACAATGAGAGAAAGTAGTGTCGTCACGTCCCGTCTCGTTGTCTATCTTAAAATTTCTCGTCACATAACTGTTTCCTTTAAAATAATTACCAATATGAGAATGTTTAATTTAGTTCAACAGAGAAGAGAATGGGTAAGAGATTTAGATGGAATACCCGTATTTTTCTTACTTTTTCTTTCGGGATTTAATTTTTACAAAATAAATAGAATCTATCCAATTTTTTTTTTGTTAAACATTCTCTAATTGTTTAAAACGCTGGTGCGATTTATATTTGAACACTTATTTATTTGGTATAATATTCATAATTTGACAAACTCACGAAATAAATTTTCTAATTCATACTTATAGAACACTACATAAAAACCTTATTCACCTACGGTCTATAAAAAATGTTTTGTTTTCTCTAGTTGAAAAAAGCTTCATGGGCTGTCAAAAAAAAAAAAAAAAAAAAAAAAAGCTTCATAGTTGTGAAGACTCAAACACAGAGAATAATAAAAACATCAAATACTAATCCAACTATTATTCTATTTGTTTTAATTATCTCTTTTCAAACTGTAGTAACATGATATTTTCTGTTTGGATTATCTTAATAAGTTCAAACTTAGACATATGAACTATTTTTATCACTTTTTTAGTATTTCGTTTGCGTATGTCAAATGTATAAAATATGAGCACTCTATAGGAAAGATCAAAGTTCATTAGCATCTGTACTAACTCAATTAAAATATTTGGTTTCTTTTCTATATAACTCATCCATTACAAAAGTGGAATCAAGAGCTTATAAAAAATCTATTTTCTTATATTCTCCCCTGATATTGTTGGATCATATTCATAAATTGCGTGTGACTGTCTTTTGTCCCAACTCAGTAGAAGCTAAGCCATGCCTCGACAAACCTATGTAGTTAATTTATAAGTTGTAGAAACATAACAGAAATGAGAGTACAATGTTCTATTTGTAATTATCATCACACAATTAAAAGAAATGTATCCAAAATTCAAATTTATAAACAGAGAACAAAATTTAATTAGTTACAACTTACATTTGGAATGGTAGGCTAATGAATATTTGTGAGTCAAATTTTATATATTTATAGGGAGAGATGAAGTTAATGAGAAAAATTAGGTTTACCTATTTTGAATTTTAGAAAATGATTTAATATCTTAATTGATTATTTATTCTCATTTCAAATTTTAAGTCAAATCTCTTGTTTAAATATTTCTTATCTTTGAAATTAATGACAACATATTTATATTTCTTTCTTTTTTTCTATCATCAATATATTGGTTTAAAGATATATTAAGAAATCAATTTTAGTATTAAAATCATATTAATAGAATATAGAATATGACTTTCGTTAAATTTCAAATCATTATTTAAATTTTAAAAATGCTCTTAAAATTTTTTGAAAATAACAAATCCAATAATATATTTTTCCTAAATTAATTCAATTAATTCAAACTAATTAAATCAGTTAGAATTAATTATCTTGCCGATTAAGTTTGAACTTCCAAGATTTTCTCAAACTATTAATAACTTATTTTTTCCCTAAATCCTGATTTTTAGGCAATAGATTAGATTTTCGGATTTTATATATTTTAAGATCATATATATAGTTTTTGTTATTATTTGTAGTAAGATTTGGAAAGATTGAAAACTTTTAGTGATATTTATTAGGTAATTTTATGGTATGATTTGCATAGTTTATTTTATAAGAATTCTAATAATATAGGATTTTATATAAAAATTATTATTGGATTCAAATAAAAACAAATTTTGATTTTTTTAACCATATTATGATGATTATTAATTTCTATAAATGGTTGTTTCTTTAATGATAATAAATTAATGATTGGATATGAGTTTATTAATATATCCAAAATTTATGGTTGCAATATTTGCAAAATCTTGGAATTAATATAATTG